CCGGTTTATTTGAAGTGCTTACCTAGGTGCTCCTTGTCCGTTGAGTGCTTACCGCTCTTTCACTCTACATTGATGCCGTCTATTCCTGATCCTTCGCTGCATAAGAACCTCATATGAGGTGTTATTGACTGATTGGGATGACACGCCCATTATAAGGTCTTCGACTGCTTTGTGATCTAGCAGTAGAAGCAGTCCAAGCTGAATATTCTCACAAGTCAGATACTTGGAGCCTAGGCCTAAATGTCAACAAATGATCCAAATCATCTTACATGGGAGAACAATAATTTTGCCTCGTTAGAGACCAACTGAGTGTGTAAGATGGGATTGAACCAAGTTTGAGACATCCGCAAGCATGTCGAAGCAGGAGATACCGATTGATATTTAATACCTACTCAATGTCGTAGTGAAGGATCTCTTCGGCAGTCTGTTTGCTTTACCGATCAAAGGAGTAATCTCCAGCGCTTCAGGATTGTCAAGATCAGCGATGCGAGTATGAGGGCGCAACCATAGACTCTTCTTCTGAGATGCCAGTACCCTTTGACTGAAGTACGAGGTACGTCTTGTGGACCGCCGCTTCGCTGTTGAACCAGCATAGCTTCTTATTTACGGCTGCACTTGTCCCAGAGGATGCTGCACAAATCGACAAGCTTGTGCCCAACTGCATTATTTCATATCTCCATAACAATAGTTGAAAGCGAACAATGCGAATGCACCTGGGAAGTTGGTTTGACTTAAGTTCCCGATAACTATTTACTGTACCTACCCGCGCTATCCTTTTCAGGACTAGCGCCATATCTCCGAATTCTTCCATCTCGAACTCCGACTCTTGCTCGATTATCACTAAAAAAAAAGAACTGGATAGGTGGACTGCCACGGTTTACAGTTTCCACAGCCCGCGGACTTCATTTTACATAAATATGGCATCTTTGACATCTGCCCGAACGGCCAGGACCGCTCTTTGCTCCGCATGCCGCTTCGCTTGTCCTAGCACGACCGTTGGACGTGCTGCAGTCATCCCCAGGCGCGGGCTGCTGACAACGACCGAGCAAGCACCGGTCGACACTGCAGATAAGCCGCGGTGGTCGTATACTCCTCCACGCGCAAAGGCTCCCTTCAGTCTGCGATTCGACTCCAAGAGACGTGATTTCCCCGTCAATTCAGACCCAAAAACTCTCGACCAATTCTACATCCGCATGCTGGGCGCCGATGGCGACAAAGTGCTCTCGGAGGAGGTAAAATGGCTGGCTGTGACACATAAGAGCTTTGATCAGGGACGGAGAGGCTTTAATGATCGCTTGGCTTTCCTAGGTGCGCATACTGGATTCCCATGCGTGGGATGAGACGGTATCTCGCGGGAGACTAATTCGGCGGTTGCAACAGGGAAACGCATCGTTCAATTACAGGCCTCTCTGGCTTTAGTGCAGAACCCCGGAAATGCCAGCAGCTCTACCACTCCGGATTCCTTTGGTCGAGAACCCTTTGCCCACCCGGCCCTGGACGGCCTGAACAACCTCTCACCCAGCACGAAGAGCTTCCTTACAAGCAAGTCGAAACTCGCAGAGCTCGCGCAGAAGTACGAGTTAGAGAAGGTCCTGAGGTGGAGTCCTCGAAAGGTGAGATTGGGATCTCTTGCAGTTTCTGCTCATTCCCCCTCACTTTCGATAAATGGACCGCGAACCTGCTGACATGGGTTATTTCTTTCCCAGCCAAACAACCTCGCCAGCTCTGGAATCGAACTTGTGCTTGCCCATACGATGTATGCAATTATCGGTGCCATTGCCCTCGAGAAAGGAGGACACGTCGCCAACAAGGTGGCACAAGAGCGGGTATTAGCACCTCTGGGTCTAAAGACGACAGCTTAAAATCGGGGTTTCATTACTGGGAAATGGCCGCAGAAGCATTGTCAGGGCGTTGTTTCCTTTTGTTTTCCTTTCTGTCTCCGTCTCGGATGTTCCTTGTATGTGTTGGGGGCTCTTTTCTTCGACCGTATATGTACTTTTATTATGACTTGTGCTATATCACTGCAAATACCACCAGAGCTCTTCGTTCTCGAATATATTTCGTTATACGAAAGACCCAAAGAAACCATCAAAATCAATTAAAATGCAAGGAATGTACGGTTCCTCTGACACCGCCCGAGCAACAGTAAGCAAAATACACGGCCAGCTCTTATGGAACCCTCATTACGATTCTAGTCTTCGCACCTCTGTATCGCAAGTCAACCATGGAGGCCTGCAGACCATTGTGAACAAAATGTTACAATGGCCACAGAAATCACAACAAGTAATTTGTGCTGCCTTGCACTGTCTATTGGGAGCGTAAAGGAAGAAAAGGAAAAGAGATAAAAAGAAAAATCCGAAGAAGCGAAATATAAATCCTTTCCCGGGAGGGCCGCTAAGCTTCTTCGGGACTTGGCGTGGGGCTGAGATTGGGTTCCTGAAAATTAAGGTGTTTACGGACTGGACTGCGACCCAAACGGGCATCATCTTTATCCTACATCGATCTCCTGGCCTCGCTTTCCCTCGAATTCTGCGATCATCGCGTTTGTTGTTCTGCTTGACTGGTCGGTTATAGCTCCAGCTCCTTCAAAGCCTACTCTTGCCGAATCTTGACCCTTGAGAGCAGAATGTGGGATTTTGGACTTGCTGGCCTCTACAGTTGAAACCCGCTCCCACTGATTCCCTGACACAATCGGCATTCATACTATCGCCCTAACTACCACCCTCTCTACCTGCACAATGGCTTCCGCTATATTCTTCTTGGACCTGAAGGGCAAAGTAAGCAATGCGCCTTCAACATCCCAATTCCTCGACATGCCTGGAACGCGCAAACTGACAGCTCGAGTAGACCCTTCTAGCCCGCAACTACCGTGGAGACATTCCCATGTCCGCAGTCGAGAAGTTCCCCATCCTCCTTAGCGAAGCCGAAGAAGAAAGCTCCGCCGTCCCTCCGTGTTTCTCCCATGAAGGAATCAATGTATGTGAGACTCCTGCGAGCTGCACTGCCTGGCCTTCGGTGCTTCCCCCGCTCCCCGCAACTCGCCTTCTCCCCTATTCGAACCAGCGACTTTGGCTCGAGGACATACAGGGAGTTTCGGACCTCGTAATTATCAAGTGAAAAGTGCTGAAACATTGTGGCTTCGCTCTAGTACCTCTACATCCGTCACAGCAATCTCTACATCCTCGCCCTAACCAAGAGAAATACAAATGCCACCGAGATCCTCCTCTTCCTCCACAAGATCGTGGAAGTCTTTACAGAATATTTCAAGGTACTGGAGGAAGAGAGTATTCGCGACAACTTCGTCATCATTTACGAGCTGCTGGACGAGATGATGGACTTTGGCTACCCGCAGACAACAGAGAGCAAGATCCTGCAAGAGTGAGTGGCTGTGGCCAGCAGTTGTGGATTCGCGCAGGACCAATGACTGATTATATGCTTTCCCTCACCCAGGTATATTACACAAGAGTCGCACAAGCTTGAGATTCAAGCCCGACCACCTATCGCTGTTACAAATGCAGTCTCCTGGCGAAGCGAGGGCATTCGCTATCGCAAGAACGAAGTCTTCCTCGATGTCGTTGAATCTCTCAATCTCCTGGTATCGGCGTCCGGGAACGTCTTGCGATCGGAGATCCTGGGTGCTATCAAGATGAAGTGTTACCTGAGTGGTATGCCGGAGCTTCGGTTAGGCCTCAACGACAAGGTTATGTTCGAAACCACTGGTCGCGCTACACGAGGCAAGGCGGTCGAAATGGAGGATGTCAAATTCCACCAGTGCGTCCGACTTTCCAGATTCGAGAACGACCGGACTATCAGCTTTATTCCGCCGGATGGAGAGTTCGAGCTTATGAGCTACCGTCTCAACACCCAGGTCAAGCCTCTAATCTGGGTAGAGTGTCTGGTCGAATCGCATTCTGGCTCCCGAATGGAATATATGTTGAAGGTATGGGATTGCGCCAAAGAAGAAGGCCTATAGTAGCATTGGACTGACTCCCATCGAAAAGGCCAAAGCACAATTCAAGCGTCGCAGCACGGCAAACAATGTAGAAATTCTTGTCCCCGTGCCAGAAGACGCAGACTCCCCCCGGTTCCGCACCAACATCGGAACCGTCCACTACGCGCCCGAAAAGTCAGCGATCATCTGGAAGATCAAGCAATTCGGTGGGGGAAAGGAGTTCCTCATGCGCGCAGAACTCGGCCTGCCGTCCGTCAAGGGCGACGACGAGCACGGCGGAGGCATGACCGGAGGATTCGGTGGCAGCATGGGCGGCACCGGGCAAGGCAAAGCCAAGCGGCCTATCAATGTCAAGTTCGAAATCCCCTACTTCACCACTAGTGGTATTCAAGTGCGGTACCTGAAGATCACAGAGCCCAAGGTATGTCCAGTTGATCTGGCACCCCGTTGGAAATCAAACGCTGATATTTTGTTGCAGTTGCAATACCCCTCCCTTCCTTGGGTTCGATACATTACGCAGTCTGGCGATATCGCTGTCCGTATGCCCGATGTACAATGATTTCAAGCGTCGTGTTAGCTCGAATAGACATTTTTCTTTCTTTTCTGTCCCACGCCAAGTCGCCGGGTGGCAGGTAGAGCCTGTCTCCAGTGTGCAGCTGCTGCACCCTCGATAATGATCATACTACAATCTTGTTTTACCTTTCTAAAGCAGCAGGCGTCTGATAACGCCCAAGCCCAACTAAGCAAGAGCTCGCGTGATCGTATGCCGAGCATTTGACTGATCTCATCTGGAGAGGTATACCAATCTGCAAATAATGTTTGACGATATATGTATTTTAAATTCGAGGAACATTGGTAATTGTTCTTCCGAAAAAAATGCCATGCTTTGGGTATCTCATACAGAAAAGAAAACGCATCACTCTCGACCGGAACGCCGTCATCCCAGTACTTTTGGGCATACCAGGTTTAGCCAGATATGGGGTTGATCACCATTTTCCGTATCAGAAACTACAGACCTACACTGGCTGTGCGGTCTGAGCGTGCTAGCTCAAGCAGTGACACCATTGGTCACTCTCGCCTCTGGAGAGTCCGATGCTGGAAGCGGGAACCCGTCCCCGTAGCCTGCCGCCGCGGCCTTGGAGAAGCCTTCCCGGGCCAACATGGTATTCAGGACGGCGCAGTTGTACGCTGCTTCGCCTGGCGGGACAACCATGAAGATATATGTGTTGTCGGTGAAGCGACCAAGGAAGATGTTGAACTGCGGGGTCTTGGTGTGCATGACCAGAAAGCCGGCTGTGGCTGGTGTCGTGTGCGTATTACGGGCAGCGCAGTGCTTGAAAGCCTTCATGATATTTGAGAGACGCTCGTGCCGATCGTAGATGGGATTCATGTCGCCGATCTCGGACGAGACGGAGGTCACGGTTAGGAAAGTCGAGCGCTCAAAGAGGATGACCTCCTCCGCATCGACTCTCTTCGCGAACGCGTTGAGAAACCGTTCGATGACGGTCAGGTTAGGGATGAGCTTGTGAACGATCCCTGCCCATGCCTTGTAGAGCGACTGGTCCCAGATGCTGCTGCCAAAGGTATCGATTGCGAACTGTTCCGAGCGGTTTCGGATCAGCGCCGAGCGTTCCTCGTAGATGCGCTGGCGGTGCTCGGCCTGGATGAGGTCCATCTTGTGTACTAGGCAGAAAACGTGTGCATTGGGACTGTATTCTTTCAGGGCACCGATGATGGCGTTGTATGTGTCGAGGTCGCGTTCGACCTCCCGCGACTCAATGTCGAACACATAGATCAAGACCGCGACGTCAGAGAAGATGTTCCCTCGCTGAGAGGCGAGATAGGTCTCCATAAACGCATCCTGCCTGTTGGCCCATTAACAAGCACATTAGCCACCAGGCCAGCCTCTAGAAAGAACTAAGAAAGACAGCAAACTCACCCGCCACAATCCCAGAGATTCAGCGTCAAATTTCCCATGAACTTGACATGGCTGTGCTCCACATCAATCGTAGCCCCAAGCCGCCGTACATCCTTCGCAACATAATTGCTGAATATGATGGAACGCATAGACGACTTCCCCGAGCCACTCTTCCCCATCAAAAGCACCTTTCTCTTCTTCTTACGTTGATCCATTCTTGATTCTTGGACAGTTCCGCTGCGCTGCGCTGGGTTGACACCAATACCCCGCAATTTGCGGCTATCGAGCTGCTTCAGGACGGGGAACCGGCGGCACTATCGTGTGGAGTTCAAGTTCTGCAGGTATTTCATATACATATGTGTGAATGAACTTTGTGTACGGGATGAACGAGGCAATGGGGGTCTTGGGGTTATTGTGTCATGGAAATGAGGTATGACCAGCCTCCGTCATTGCATGAGCGTCGCTCGTTTGGGTCAACGATGATCCGGAGTGGTCACGTGAACAATACAGTATGGGGAACAGCATACAGTATGTCTTCCTTGGGGTTTCAAGCCTAGCTTTCTGGATTAGAGGGGAAATGCGCTTTCTCCACTGAATCATTGAATCGGTTTTAATTACTAGTAGCGTAAATGTAGATTTCCTCCTTCACAAACACCTCGGAGAACGCTCGTCTAGGTATGAGGAGAAAGTCCTGCTGGATTCGAAGACAGTCTGATGAAGTCCTTGTCTCCATTGAACATCTCAATAAAGTTGAGCGTCTAACTGCTCGTTGCAATGGTTCTTTGGGCATTCAATTCCGTTTCAATATGAAGATGGAGTAGGAAAACCAGGCAAAGGCCGTAACATCGTCAGTACTTTTACCCATGTCCACCATGAAAAGAAAAAATACACAGAACATAGTCATAACACGGACGGAAATGTCTCTAGATGAGAAGCAGAAATATATATAGGTAAGGTAGCTTCACCGAAGCTGTACGCACACAAAAAGGTCAAAGGAGATAAGAAGACATATAACATCTGGTCAGGTCATCAAGAAGTCGTCAAGGCTACCGCAAGTCATCAGTTGTGGAGACGAGAAGCCGGCGGGGGTGGGAAAGGTCGAAAATGTATGCTCGTGCTCAGAAAACGGTGCCATCGGAGCGGATCATAATCGGAGGCTCTTTGGTGTTTGGTCGGGAGACCTCTGCTATTTCACGGCCGCCCTGTGCAAGAATTCGTTAGACAATCAATTGCGAGTAGAGTCCCCGTATTCAAGATAGCGTACCTTCCATGATCCAGCTTCGAGCATCTGCGCAAGGGTCAATTGTTCCTCGCCTCTCAATCCCAGTTGATTATTCACCTCCATGAGAAGGTCATCCAAGAATCCCACCGTAGCCGCGCGCCATTCAACCACCACATCATCATCGGTGGAGAAAAGTGGGACTACCTCCACATTTGGCTGACCCTTGATCTGAGCGTTCTGCTTGTATGCTGCGATGCCGCGCTGAAGGTCAGCATCTTTGAGAACTAACAACCCCATGTCAATGAGGAGGCCGCCATTTCGATATTCAGGAAGTCCAGTTAGGAGGTCACTGCCAGCAATGTGGATGTTCATTAACTTTGCCATGGGTAACATGATTGAATAGCACAGCCACTGGGTAAGCTTGTGGAAAGGTACGATGCTTTCCCAAGGCTGTGCCGGAGGAGAGTTGGGCATGGTTGAGCAGACCCAAGCATCTCCGATAGAGACACCATCAACTTGGGTCCTTGAAGGCGGCCAAATTGAGGCGAACCCATCCATGAGAACCGTCCACAGTGTGGTGATAGGAACAATGGGTACAGATGAGGCAAGGGTAGATGGATGCGAAAGCAAGTAGTCTGGATGCACAATGTTACCAGAAAGTTCCCTCACGTATCTGATCAGCGGGATATCTTACCTAGCATGTTCCCTGGTCGAGCGTCAACGCCAAAGAACTCCTGGTTGTTCAGGGCCTCGGACAGCCTCATCAGCAGTCCAGCACGGCCTTCGAGACCTGCCAGTTGGTTATGTTCAGAATGCTGCATTCCCCTAGCCAATATCTCCACCGTAACCTTCTTTAGGCCCGCACCGTCAACCTGGCATGGTTCTGTGGGATCGCTACTGAATAAGCCGCTCTTGAACATCTCCAGGGTGGCCACCGCTAACCCCTCGCTCCGAGAATAAATCTTGCCGGATTCTTTTGATTTGTACGACCACTTCGTGCCTGCACCAGCATCGAGAAGGACGGAGATCACGAAAAGGTCAATCAGGCGCCGTGTCCGTTCCTGCGCATCAATTGTGCTGGGCCAAGATTGAAGCAATTGATTCACTCGGGGCCTCCCGCCAACGTCAAAATGCTGCCAGCGACCGTGGGGTGGGATGGACGCATAATCAGGCGCATAGTCTCTCTGAGAGAAGGTCAATGTTAGCCCATGATCCAAGCACCTCAGGTTTAGAGGACGGAGAGAAGGCGCGTACTTTGATGATTGACACAATGTATGAAGCTGTTGCCTTGAATTTGCTCATATCGACATCAAAATGATTCAATTTGTTTTTCTTTGCCTTGTCGAAAATGATTCGAGACCGCTCACGGACAGCATGGATGCTTCGAAGGTAAGCTGCAGGGTCCAATGCCGGATCTGGGGGCCTGGAAATTGGAAGCTCTGGGATCGAAGCTGGCAGTCCGCTTCCTTTGTATCCGGGGGATCTCAACGACGCATTCGAGGTGCGAGCACTGTTGACAGTAGCGAAAGAATCCTGCTCATCCTTATCGCTCTGAATGGAGTTCTTTGAGTCTTTGCGCTTGAAGAGACCCATTGCGAAGGGAGGTAAACGGGGTTGATTGTCGATGGCCGATGAGGAAACTAGTCGTCGTCTAGCGTCTCAAGGCGAGAGGTAGTAAACACTGATGAAAAGGTATTAGGTTGGAGAGTATCTAGGTGAAATTGAATCAGAGGAAGCAAAAGGCGCAGGACAGAGATCGGCCAGTTTTCACTGAAGGGGAAAGGGGACAGTGCCCATCAAAAAGATGATGATCTGCGGCGGGTACAGGAGAGACTGAGGAAGCGTTTGTTTTGAGAGCTTGTCGCTGGTTTGGCTGAGAGTAGTGGACGAGTTGTCCCCCCTCGTTGTTTTTTCCCCTGGGAAAGAAA